AGAAACACAAATACCTATGAAATATAAATTGAATAAACACTTTCGTGATGCTGAAAGAGGAGTGTATTTGAAAATAGAAAAATTGTGAAAGATGTGTGAAATGTTGACATTTGTTTATGACAAAATACTAGTATCATAGAAAGTAATAGTAATAAAAAAGATTAACAAATAGTAATTTGTGGTTACTTATCCGAATTACATAGTCGGGTGAAAATATTCTTCACACATTTCCACTTTGTACGTTCATTCTCCAATCTCGTACATGAATTGCGGTTACTGACGCTTGATTTTAATATTCTGTCATTATATACGATTTTTCATTCTGCTGCCTTTCTATTGTTGTCATGATCATAACAAAAGGTCTGATGATGGACTTTACATCAATTAGTTGGACTTTTGTTATTCTGTACTCCTGCAAAGATTTGGACTCAAATTGATCACTATCTGCTGCTGTGAAGCGAATTTTAAAAACGTTTAATGATAAATTAAGATGATAGGAACATTTCTAGATGACCAGAGTCCTTATAATATGTATTTTCTGCTTTATTGAAATAATTTTTCAAACTTCTTATATACGAAAAAAATAGTTTAAAGTACGTGTGTTATTAATAAATTTTTTAATTCTTTGGATAAGTCACTAGTTCGCTACAGCCAGCACTCACGGAACCAATCTTTTAATATACCAAAATAATAATAATAAAAAGAATTTAAATAAAACTTGTGAAAATCAAATCTTCATCCACCTTCATCTACTCTTATAAATGCATAATGAATAATAATATGTAAAAATATGTATTTGCATTTATTTTATTATGTAAGATATAACTATGGTAAATACATAAATGAGTTCTTTTTATTACTATACGCTTTAGTGTATAATTTCCGATTAAATTTACGCTTCTGCATGTATATCCAAGTTATTTTTTCTAAGTTATATCCAAACAAAGAGATGACAGCACCAAAAATATACAAAATCCATACCTTTATCAAATCATACCAACCTAATGGTTGAGCCCATTTTACTGGTTCACTTATATCCTCTAAACTTGTAAGATTTTGCCCAACCATATCGTAAAAATTAAAGGATGTCCAATAATTTATTAAACCGCTTGCGTGTAAGCGCTGTATATGCTCAGCAAACACATTACGATAGGGTAAATATTTACGAGCCGGTATACTAAGATCAATGAATTTGAGGAAACACATATTATCGGCATAGTAAAAAACGTTGTTTTCGTAAGTCATTTGTCTTTCATGAAACACCTGCCAACGTGTACGAGATACTGGGTAGGCATAACTCGTATTCATTGATTCACGCAATTTCACAAAGTCTCGGTAAGTTTCCTCAAATCTTAATAATTTTTTAATTGTTCTGTTTAATGTAAACATATTGAACTCCAAACGTGATAAAGAAATCTTAAAGTCTACATCTTCCAAGTCCTTGAAGGTTTTCATTGTGGTGTCTTTTGGTGGATGTGTAAGAAGCGATTGTAAATTTGCTTGATAGCCTGTATTAACAATTAAACTGTAATAGCAAAGAAGTGCACAAATTAATTTGGTTTTTAAATTCAATTTACTGGGCAGCGTAAATGATTGTCCAAGTACACCTCTAATACTTTTATCATTCAAAAATATATCCAAGTAATAAATCTTGTTTCGACTTTGATCCATACTGCACAGAAACAGTAAAGCAAATATTAATACTGAAATTGGTATAATAGCTCTGAGACCCCACGGAATAATATCCGTAAAAATATCACACGTTCGTCTATAGCTTGGCAATGGTATCATTAAGCAGTAGTCTTCTACGTTATAAGAAGCTGTATAAAGCGGTAAATCATTTGGAAATTTTATAAGTTTACACCTTCGTCCATACACCTTCGGATTGCTTTTATCTGTAAATGAAACTCTATCGGCCATTACCATATCATAAAAATTTGCATGAAACCAGTTATCGATTAATCCGTAAGCGCGTACATCCAATATAAGATTTTCAACAGCTGGTCTATATAACGAATGCTTCTGCAATGTAAACCCATAGTAAGTAGTACTCATAAAACAGGCTTCCCACGAAAAAACAAACAGCTTCCGTGAAAAAAATTTTTGTTGTTGCTCATAAACCATCCATAGGATATTAGGTATTGGATAAGCGTACTTAACAAACAAATCATTGCGTTTCTGATGGAAGTCAGCATAAGAAGTTGAGACAAAATGTAAAGAGTATTCACTGTATAAGTTTTGTGTACTTGTATAGAATATAAGCTCCTCTTCGCTGACAAGAATTGGAAGTTTTGCTTCAGAAGCATCCTTAAATGTCATTAGCTGACGCTCTTTTGGAGGCTGCGTTAACATAGTCTGTAAGTAAGCCTGTAGATGGCTACTTATATATAAACCAGATAAGGATAGCAATATGTATACTAGTTTAAGCGTAATATTTGCATTGGGCAACATGTTAAAGGTTTGACCCAATAAACCACGCAATGTGACATCATTAAGTATAAATTCGAATATATGACATTGATAATGTTTTCGTTTATATCGAAGAATGGTCAACTTTAATTGGTGTAACATGAGAAAAAGTGTAAAAGCAAAATAAATTATCACACAGATGACGACGAACTTAAGATTAAATATATAGTAGTAGTAGTAGTAGTAGTAGTATTCTTTTTATTAAATATAGGTTATATTTACATTTACAAAATTAACATTTTCAATAATTTATAATATATAAAACATAAATATTATAAATAATTATAAGAAAAATAATAAGAAAAACCTAACTTCATTTACATAGTATCTAATTTATCCTTATACGATTATGGCATTCGCCGTCAATCGGGGGTTTGGATTTGGATTTGTGTTTTTTTTTTTTTGTTTTTTACGAACTTCAGCTTATGAGAGTTAAAATGCCTCTAATATAATATTTTCTCTATAACGAGACGCCGTTTTCACATAGATCGATAACATATGCCAGTTTTCACCATTTAGCAGCCTCATTAATTCGTTAATATCTAACGTTTGTTTTCCAAAATAATTTACTCGTAGCTCCATTAAAATTGGACATTTACTAAGAAAATGTATTATATCTTCCTTTTCTCCAGTATTGCACAGCGTGCATCTCGGCTCTGACGAGTTCATATAGGGAGCGCTGTTGAGCTTTAACAGTTCTCCTCGAGTTTTGAAAATATATCCAATTGCTTCAGCACTAAAACGATCTGCGAAGTAACTGTTGTTGCCTTAGTCAAAATTAAGTTGCCTGTGTAAAACACGAGTTAAGCTTTGTTTTCTCTAAACGCAATACCGATTTTTACTAATATATTTTGCTGCCACTGCTTCCACGAATGTATGTTATCGATTATCAGCGGTTCACGGTGAACCGATGGTAGTTCAGTCCACGTTTTAAAACAGTGACTCTTCTCCTGCATTAGAGATATAGCTAATATTTTAGGTAACCGCGAGCTTTCCATGTTGCAAACTTTTAACATATACTTGAAGTGGATTTCTAAAGTGTACAAGTACAGAGGTGACAAGCCAGTCTCCAAATAAATCATTCGGTTGGGTGTGTTAAGCGGTAATCTCCATATTTTTTTTACAAAAAATCGTAAAAGTTTTTCAACTTCCTCATATTGTAGCACTCCCCATACCTGAGCCGCATAGCACATTATTGATCTAGTAGTAGATTCATAGAGTTGAAATTTTGTTTTGAACGGTATATCTTTATTTTCAAATATATTTTTCCAAGAGCAGTTAATAGCTTTTTTAGCTTCTCTCAATTTTTCAGTTAAATGTCTATTAAATGTAGCATTATAATACATCCATGTTCCAAGATACTTGTATTCCTTAACTATTTCTACATTTTCTCCGCCTAATGTCCATACTTCTTCATTTGTATACCGCCTGTGATGCTTTTTAAATACTAGTGCTTTTGACTTTTCAATATTAAATGTTAATCCCCATAGCTTACAGTAACTGTGTAGCTCATTTATCATAATTTGTAAACAATTGGGACTTTCTGCTAGGAGAACGATATCATCTGCATACAAAAGAGCTTTAATATTTACACCATTTATAAATGCGCCTCCAGATAGATGTGTAACCACATCGTCTATATAAATTGAAAATAGAATCGGACTGAGTACGCAACCTTGTTTAACTCCTGAATCAGTAGCAAACCACTCTGACAAGTGATCCCCATCCCATACAGCAGCACGATTTTCGGTATATAAACTGGATAGAACATTGATAAATTTGGTGGACATGCCAATACTACTGAGTTTATAAAATAAAGCGTTTCTGTTTACTGAATCAAATGCTGCTTTAAAGTCGACGAAAAATGCATATAGCTTTTTTCCTTTTTCCGTATACTGCTTGGCTATACTTGTAAGACAAAAAATATTATCAATTGTTGAGTATCCTTTCCTAAATCCTGCCTGGTATTCACTGAGTAAATTATATTCTGCTACCCAAGCCTTTAGCCTTTCAAGAAGGATTCCTGTGAATAATTTGACAGCGGAGTTTAAAAAGGAAATGCCTCTATAATTATTCGCAATCTGCGGGTTTCCTTTTTTAAAGAGCGGATAAATGATTGCAGTTTTAAAGTCTTTAGGTGTTGTTCCGACATCTAATATTTTGTTAAAAACCATTACTAACTTTGCGATAAAATTTGACGGTGCATTTTTATAATACTCTATAGGGATTCTGTCTTCTCCCGGCGCTTTATTTGACTTGCTGTTTCTTAAAATTTTATTAATTTCTTCTGTAGTGATTACATTATCCAACAAATCTATTTTAATATTTGATATGGCGAAACTAAATGCATACCCAACTTGAGCATTCAATAGCGTTGAGAAGTAACATGACAACTGGGTAGAATTTAACTCTGTACTTTTGGTGATTAAATATATATAAATAGATATCTTTCAAATGTACATCCTTTGCTGTTGGAATCATTAAACATGAATGGACAAACTCGAATGGATAAGTAAAATAGTGGAAGTCACTTACATTTGTAATGGGTAGAATACTGGCTGGCATATCAAGGTTCCATTTTTTGTTGACGCAAGTAAATCACCATAAAAAATGATTTCTCCACCTTTTACTGGTCGTGCATATTTCAGTGTAGCATTTAATTTCCAAGCGAGTGTGAGCATGAGTTTCCCGACATAACCAGTTAACACCTGTTGACCCAATTTATTCCTGTGCACTATTGTTCTTGGTTCTAACTGGTCTGGTAGTGTTATTATACTAGTACCATGTAAGTTTTTAAATTTATTTGGAAAATAATCTGCTAAAGCGCTTACACTTTCTTTTACTATATGGAAATTCGGATATGCCCACAATGTGTAGAACTCAGATTTATAACTGGAGTCTCCAATGAAAGCAAAAACGTTAAACATTTTATGATTATAAAAGAAACTTAGTATGTTTTCAACTAATTTAAATGAGTACTTTTCTGAAGCTGTAGACACATAGATCATTGTTTTCGTTTCTCGCATACTATGTAATGTTTGTACTAACAGATTTAACGTACTTATGCTGAGGTTCTTGTTCCAGAAGACAATTGCTATGAGGTTACTGTTGATTGTAGGCTTTATTTGGGAGCTTGTACGTAAATCGTCTATTATAACTGGTATGGTCAGATTTCCAATTAATTTACATAGCGAACAAGTTGAAGAGGTTTTAAGATATATTGTTTCAAAATTATGTTTAGATAATATATCTAAAAGAATTTCATAAACAGCTGTCCGATGGTTAATTTGAAACTCCGCACGTATTGTTGTCAATGTTAGATGGTTGTCCTTAAGTATAACATTAGTTGTAAATATCGATAAATAAGTTAGGCAGATGCTATAGAACTTAATAAACATTTTCCAAAAATACTAAGACTGCACTTTAAATGTTTGAACGCAATAAATTAACTTTTTCTGAGTCAATCCTTCCGATGAATAAACTCTGTAAAAATAAATCGCTTATATTGAAATTTATTTTCATAACTTTTTACTTTAATATTGAAATACATTTCAAACGAATAATTATAAAAAAAACAGTTAAATAAAAACACTATTATGTACATACATAGCAATAAAAAATATTTCGATTTGATGAAAAAGTAGCTATTGTTATAATTCATGGGCGTTTATATGTTACCTTATAAAGCATTACCGTACCGTTTATTTGGACACGGTACATTTGCTGGTAAGGGCAAGTTCTTACTATTATTATCTATATCTATAAATAATCTGTGTAGTAGCCAATAAAACGTATTTTCTACAGTTTTATGGATTAAATTTTTGTTTTAATTTGTTTTAATATTCTATTATTATACAATACCTTTACTACTCTTTTGAAAAAATTATGTATGTATATATATATATCTATAACCTAAATGACATCGATCGATATAACAATATATCTATAAATGTTGTCAACTTAGATGCACAGTAATTGAGGTAATCAAATGAGTGCGTTAAATATAATTTTATAAATTAAAATAAATAAATTAAATATAAATCTAAGCAGTTGCTCAAAAAAGTAAGTACACGAATGAATGAAGTTAATTTTAATGCAGGATCTCTATAAGACTTCAATCTAATCTATAAAGACACTTGTATAATCTATATGTCAAAAAGTTATATATATATAAGAGATATATGAAATTACCTTCCATGTGACCTCATCTTATTACAGGTAGTTAACACATTCAATAATTTAAGATATGTGCCTCCAACGTCACTAAAAGTAGATGAGGCTTTCAATAACTCATACGAAAACAAAAGTGTATTGATATATTCCACTGAAGGCTTACGAAGTATTTTGAAGTAGTTACAGTCCTTAAGAAAAAGTGATGTTAAAGATTGTTCAGTTCTTTCCTCAAATAGTGAAATATTTCTAAATTTTGTTTTTAAACAATGATAAAATTATAAACTTCATTTTGTAAATTTATTGTATTATGGACAATCTTTTTAAAATCACATTATATTGTGGATTTGTCTTTGAAAATAGCCTAATGCATCGTCAATCATTATCACATTAGTGGTATGTCTGATTTAAATGGACTAAAAAATCGTCTCATTACTTGAGTCTATATTACACTAGAATTATCGCAACATTACTTGAAGATAGGATCTCCAAATGGTTTTTCGTCTTATTTCAACTTATGATAAAGTCTTGTCTCTTGTTTTAAGGCATACTTTCAATGTATTGTAAAATTTTGTTCTAATGTTGTACTTGTCTCTTCATCTGTGCAACACTATTTGCGATATTGATGTCCTCTAGTCCTACTTTCTTTAACACATTAGCAATCGAAGAAAGCATCTGTCTTCATCTGTCTGCCAATATAACCTGCACGTTTGGCAGGTTACTTATAGGCTCTATAACTGGAATCGTGAAAATGACGGTTATGGAGAGGAATGATGGAAATAGTTAAATGCAAGGATTTGAAGTATAATGAACGATATTGAGGAGAGTTGTACTGAATTATGGATTTCAAGTCATATAGCAGGGTACTAGGTTGGAGAACGTCGGGAGTAATGCGAATGATTTGTGCTTTAGCGTTAAGCAGAGAGGTATTACTTTTATGTTCGCATATTTTCCTGGAGTTTTGTTAATTTGTTGTGAAAGTTATATGTTATTAATAAATTCTCTTGCTGTGTTTATATTAGAACGAAATGATAATTGAATTAATTAATTATATATATTTATTTTTAATTGTTAAATTTCTATACTATACTGTTTGCAGAGGCATTATTTGTTGCATATTCTTTCCAATGTATAAAACCTAATCTAGGAACGTAATACTGTGAAAGTCATGCCAATGTTACTCTACGATTCGCACAGACGACGATAATTTTATTCATCTAGTTAAATTGTTATTATTTAGAACTTAACACATTTATCTAAACTTTTTTAAACAAAACAATAAAAACTTACTACTTAAAAATAAACCCATTTTGTATAATAGTTTAAATGAGTATAGCTTTTCTGACAGCAATTTCAAGAAAAAATAGCATATACTTAATTGAATTAAATGAAATTACATGAAAATAGATGTAACTTCAGCTTTGCCGAATTATTAATACTCTTCATACGAAAGTTTATATTGCGTATCAATTATTCTTTCTTTTCTTTTCAAAATTATTTAACTTTATATTTACATTGAATTTTTAGCATATTTCAGATTATACCAGTGATTTCAGTTATACCAATCGTGTTATTACATGAAACTGTTCCGATTACGGTTCATGAAGATTTCCAGAAAGTAAGCTTAAAGCATATCGGATGTGGCCTCGAGAGTAATATTCCGTCTTTCATTCCCCTCACAGCTACAGCAAAAATCATTAAAGAGAATATTGTATATCCTGGCTTGATGACCTAATCGAAAGTGAACGAAAGGATTTTTCTGTACGCCTTTCAACTTCACGTTCGTGTTGTTATTATGATCATAACAATAGGACTGACTTCGAAGACGTATATTGTGAAAAAAAGAATGATATGAAGAGTAGCAATAAATGATATAACGCTAAACTTCTGTTAGGTTTCTATGAAGATATAATGAGCTAAATATTTATCTGAACCAAATTGGACTCAAATATATCAATATCTGCTGATGTGAAACGGATGTTAAAACAACTAAGTATCAATTAAAATAATAGGAGTTAGGATAGTAGAGGACAAAGTCCCAATAATATGTAATTAAATAAGCAATGATTTAAAAAAGACTACAATAAAAGCAATTATTTAATTGACGTTGAAGTAATTTTCATTTTAAGACAATTAAAAAGCTATGTAAATTACGTTTTTATTTTATTTTAATACAATAAGTTATTAAAAATAAAACTATTTAATTGGTGTTGTACATATAAATAGTGACAGTCAAGTTTACAACCTTTAACGAACAGTAGAGACACCATGATAGACTTAATAAAAATTCTTGTGTGTTTTATATGCGGCAGCTTCCTGCTTATTTATTTGGCGTTACGGAAGCAATATTCATATTTTAAGGACCGCGGTGTATTGCACGATAAACCAGTGTTTTTTTTCGGAAATCTTAAGGAATTTTATCGCACCAAAACATTGTATGATATTTTCCAAGAATATTATATGAAATTCAAGGAAAAAGCACGATTCGTTGGATTTTATTTCTTTCTCAACAAAACGATTATACTGCTCGATCCCGATTTAATTCAGCATATATGTGTTAAGGATTTTGCAAATTTTACAGATCGAGGACAGTATTTTAATAAAAGAGATGATCCAATTTCTGCTCACATGCTGCTTTTAGATGGACAACACTGGAAAAATTTACGAACAAAATTTACTCCAACTTTCACATCAGGAAAAATAAAAAGTATGTTTACCACTGTCGTCGATGTAGCTGATCAATTAATCAGTGTTTTGGAAGATGAGCGAAACTCTACAGATATGAATGTAGGAATTGATTTTGCAAATCTTATGTCACGCTATACAACAGACGTTATAGGAAGCGTTGCTTTCGGTTTAGAGTGCAATAGATTAAAGGAACCAACAAGTAAATTTAGTAAAACTTGTGAAAAAATTGGTTATTTTAAACACAGTATGCCTGTGGTTTCGCTTATGAGTACTTTTCCAAATTTAGCTCGAAAATTCAGAATGAAACTGTTTCCAAAAGAAATTTCAGACTTCTTCTTTCAAATTGTTCGTGACACTGTAGAATATCGAGAGAAAACGGGTATACAACGAAAAGATTATCTTAATATATTAATGGAGTTAAGAAAATCAGAGACATCAGATGCTTTAACAATGGAAGAGATAACTGCACAGACATTTTTATTTTTTGTAGCAGGTTTTGAAACAAGTTCAAGTGTAATGAGTTTTTGTTTATACGAACTGGCTTTAAATCCAGACATTCAAGAGAAGGCTCGGACGGAAATGAATGCAGTTATGGCTCAGCATGATGGCAAACTTACTTATGAAGCAGTTAAAGAAATGAAGTATTTACTTCACTGTATGTACGGTATGTACCATAAACACTATATGTACTAAACTGAATGTTGAAACTAATATATTTTTATATTTTTTTATCAGAAACAACGCGTAAGTATTCAGTTGTACCGGTTATCGTACGCAAAGCTGCCAAGGACTATATTTTACCAAATACAAATCATGTCATTGAAGAAGGAACTAGAGTTCTTTTACCAATTGATGCCTTACATTATGATCCAGACATATATCCAAATCCTCAACGTTTCGATCCCAACCGATTTTCGACAGAAGAAATTGTAAAACGTCATCCAATGGCATATATGGGTTTCGGCAAAGGACCACGAGCTTGTATTGGTTACAGATTTGCCTATATGCAAATTATAATTGGTTTATATATGATGCTTAAAAACTATCGATTTTCTCCCACCAAAGAAACACAAATACCTATGAAATATAAATTGAATAAACACTTTCGTGATGCTGAAAGAGGAGTGTATTTGAAAATAGAAAAATTGTGAAAGATGTGTGAAATGTTGACATTTGTTTATGACAAAATACTAGTATCATAGAAAATAATAGTAATAAAAAAGATTAACAAATAATAATTTGTGGTTACTTATCCGAATTACATAGTCGGGTGAAAATATTCTTCACACATTTCCACTTTGTCCGTTCATTCTCCAATCTCATACATGAATTGCGGTTACTGACACTTGATTTTAATATTCTGTCATTCTATAAGATTTTTCTTTCTGCTGCCTTTCTATTGTTGTCATGATCATAACACAAGGTCTGATGATGGACTTTACATCAATTAGTTGGACTTTTGTTATTCTGTACTCCTGCAAAGATTTGGATTCAAATTGATCACTATCTGCTGCTGTGAAGCGGATTTTAAAAACGTTTA